AGCGCCCCCGCCCACCGCTCCCCTCGCCGCCGCCTCCTGCCGCCCTCACCTCTCCCGCCCCGGACCCCGCGAGCGCAGCCGGCTCCGGGGGCAGGCTCGGGGACGACGAGGAGGGCCCCAGGACAGACTGGGCCCAGGTGGGGCGATGAGCCTCTCTGCGTCGCTGACCCCGTCTCTCTCGGTCGCTCTCCCCAGAGGATCACAAATGGGACTTTTCTGCCTGAGCCCTATCTCCAGGGACGGCATGGAAGTGAGGCTGAGAGGGGACCTGTTCTCCACATGGCCACACAAGACACCCCAGTCACAGCCTCCCAGGAAGTGGGTCCTTCACAAGCTTAGCCCCCCCCCTCAAATGCACACGCAGGGAGTCACAGCCCCCACATGACCTCCGTGGGGTGGGGGGGGGGGAGAGGGAGGATAGGTAGGTCCTCAGGCTGGGTCCAGGCCTAGATTCTCCCCAGGTGTCTGAATCTGCAGCCAACTCTGTGGGCCCCTGGGCCTCAGTTTCCCCAACTATACAATGGAGCACCTGGCTTGGAGATGCCAAAGGCCTTCCCTCAGTCTGAGAATCCCAAGAAGCCAGAGCCTGGGGGTGACCCTATAGAGAGGTGGCCCTGTGGCCCAGGTCGCCTGAGAACACATCCCTCCCCCCTCGTTCCCAGGGGCCCAGCTGCCAACTGCTCATTGTCCCCATTCTCCTTTGGGGGCCTGTGAAGGCTCCCTTCTCCCTAGCACCTGGACAGGGGAGGCTCAAGAAACCCTGCGAACTGGGATAAATGGTGGGCCTCCCACAGTGAGAGAGATCCTCCTGGTGATGAGATCCCTCCAGCGGGGTAAGATGCAAGCCTGGGGTGAGGGTCTGGAGAGACTAGGCCAGACCTCAGAAGGTGCCCCCATCTCAGACCTGACCTCAGGTGGGAATGCAGCCCCACCCTGTTCCTCCTTCCCCTTTCCATCTGCCCCGGGGGTAAGCCTCACCTGTTTGCTAGAAGAGAGAGAGGGGTAGAGCTACCAGGGCCTGCCTCTGAGTCCTCGGTACCTGATCTCAGCAGGGAGAATTGAGGGCTCTGGGCTACAGTCGGGGGAGGAGAGAGCAGCTCAGGGCATCAGCCCCCCATGCAAACCATTTGGGCAGCCCCCCCCCTTGTGTCTTTACCATGACCCCTGACTCCTGGAGATTTGATTTCTGAACTACAACCTGGCTTGCCCCTGTAGGGCCCTTTCTATGCCTCAGTTTCCTCTGATGTGGGGGGAGCACTAGACGCTTTCCAGGTGTCTTCCAGAGTCCCCAGCTGAGGACCGGAGGTGCACCTATGCTGAGCACAATAGCGGGGATGGGTGGGGGGTGGGGAGCCTGTCTCTGATTTTGAGGGAGTTGGGGCACCTGGGTGACCCCAGCTATGGGGGGCCTGACAGTTGAGTGGGGCCCAGGTCCTGGAGTGGGATAGGGCTAAAGGGGACCGCTGTAGTACATGCTGCTGAAGACTCAGAAGCCATAAGCATTTAGTAATCATTTACTGTTTACCGGCTGCAGCCCCAGAGGGGAAGTCACACCTTCATTTTCCATTTGCTTCAGGCCCAAGGAGGGGTCGGGTCTGGGGAGAGCTGCTCCCCTCCTTCCTATGTTCTATCCAAGTGCCAACACCCCCTGCAAGTCCAAGTCCACAGACTTTTCAACTCCACCTTGGAGTCTGTTGCAAGCCTTCGCAGGTTGTAGATAATCACACCCATCTTCCAGGTGGGCAGACAGATGTGGGGGCAGGGGCAGGTCCAGAGAACCGAGTGTCCCCCTTCCCACGCAGAGTCCGAGTCTGAACCCCAGTCTGGCCTCCCCAATCCCACCCTCCAACAATCTAGCAAATAATTAAAAATAATCATGGCATCTACAAATCTATCTGCAGCCAGGACATGCCGGCATCCCTGACCAGGAACTCGGAAGCGGCGCATGTTGGCGAGGCTGGGTTGGGGGGCTTCTGGGTGGGAAAAGGAAAAGGCAGAGGAAATACCCCAAACGCCGACATTGGGGTTCCAGGGGGTCGGGATTACGGGTGCTTTTGCCTCGTCTTTATCTCTCTCCCACTGCTCAGATGTCATTTTCATTTTTATAACAAGCATGTGTGGCTTTTGTAACAGGGACGTGTCCATTTTGAAAGAAAAGGGGAGAATCGGAGGCTTTGAGACAAGGGGCCCAACTCCTGCCCCCCTCCACTGCCCCCCTAAAGCCCCCTAGAGTCTGGGAAGGGGCCTCCCAGCACGGCTGAACCACCCTCATCCAGGAGTGCCAGCCCCCAGGGCAGGCCCCGGCTTGGACTCCCGGCTCCCCTCAGAGGCTGCACTCTGACTGGGAGGCTGAGCAAAAATGTGTCAGCCCCCAGAGGAGGAACGTGGCCCCCTGGGGCTCCAGAATCAGCTTCCCCGCCAGGGCCTTTTAGTAATTAGTAAAACAGAATTGAGTCGGCCAAGGGCCGGCCAGCTACTTGGGCCAAATCGATCTTGGGTCATTAGGCAAATTGCAGGTGGGGGAGGGGCGGGCTGGATGGGGACAGGGCACCCCTATCCCCGCCCCCGCTGGGACCTTGAAGTCCTTAGGGCTCAAAATCTCTTTTTGGAAAAAAGAAGTTTGATCCCGGGTCCGCAGGCGAGCCCCCATGTCTGCACCTCCGGCCCTTCTGCAAGCTCTGGGCAGCCCAGGCCGGATGCCCACCCTCTCTGTGCCCATCTCGGACATGGGGAAAGCTAAGAAGGGCAGCTGCCGGTCCCGCTCCCCGGGGGCTCCGCTCACCCAGAGCGGTGTCGAGGACCGGCCGGGAGCGGTGGGGAGGACCGGCCGGGAGCGGTGGGGAGGACGCCCGGGAGCGGTGTCGAGGAGCGGCCGGGAGCGGTGGGGAGGACCGAGTGGCGAGGGGCGTCCTCCCTGCCGCTGGGGTCAAGCTGCCGCTGCAACGGCCATTAATGCGCCACCTCAGAATGCTCGAGTCCCCCATTTAATCTGCAACCTCCATGCCCCCCTCTTCATGGACACCCGGTCTTCCTTGTTGTTCTCGGCTCCATCATTGCAGCTAAAAATTTTGGGGGGTAGATGCCCAGTTTCCCTTTCCTGGTCTCCCCCAGGTCCCTCCACGGTCCGCGGCTGATTCGATTTGTCTCCACGCAAATGAAAGCAGCGACTGCTGGGCACACCCCTTTTACTGGAGTCAGGTTTTAACAAGTGGTGGCGATTCGCCTTCCATCCAGTCCCGCCAAGCCCGAGACTCCGCCGGGTGCTACCCGCGGACGCTCGGAATCCGGGCCCGCAGCCACCTGGGGGCCCAGGTGCCTTCGTTCATGCCGGGTCCGGGGACTTGGTTTAGGTTTTTTGGGAGCGGATGAGCTTTTCTGGGGCAGGCGGCTGGGAGGGCCTGGCGGGGGTCCCGGCCGGGCTGCGGGAGGCGTTCAAAGGGTTCGCTGTCGGGAAGTTCGGTGCGGGGACGTCCTCGAGGGCAGAACCCAGGGCACCACAACGTTGTTTCGCCCCTGGCGGGCCCGAGGTCCTGGGCTTCCTGCAGGCAGTTGGGGTCGCCCGGGCCGCTCTGGCAAGAGGGGTGGAGGCTCCTGCGGGCTCGGCGGCAACAGCTGCGCCCAATCGATCCCCGCGCCCGCCCGGGCTCCGGTGCCCCCACCGCGCGCGCGGCTCCATCGAATCCTCATCGCTCTCGGCAAACACTGCGCTTGTTTGCGAAGGGGCACCCGTGCTGGGTGTCTTCGGCAGCCAGGGAGTGGGGGGGGGGTCCCTGGGGCCCTGCGTCCTCGCACCCCTTCTCCGGAGTTCGAGGTACCCAGTTAGAGGAGGGAACCCCCCCCCCCCGCAACGACTCGGGGATGGGTGGCCACGGCCGGGCCGGGAAACCCGTGCGGGCAGCAGCAACCTAGCCGCGGCAGCTTTGCTCCGCCGGGGCCTCAGTTTCTCCGCCTGGACTCGGCGGGACTGGGGGAACCGAGGGAAGGGGATCTGGGCTAGCGCTGAGGTCTACCGCTCTCCCCCGCCGCTCCGCCTGCTTTCGCTTCCTCTGAGGCCGCCTGCCCGGCGCGGGCTCCGGAACGCGGCAGGGCGACCGGAGTCTCGGACGCCGAGGTCTTAATAGCAGGCGGCGATCGGTGCGCACGCGGCTGCGTCGCAGCCAGCCGTGGGCCGAGGGAATGAATGCCCTCTCCCAAGCCCAGACCGTTCTTCTCCCCGCTCACCACCGCTCGCGCCAAACCTACGAGTCCACTCCGCAGTTTGCAGTCGGGGAAACTGAGGCCCAGCGGGGCAGCGCGCAGGCTGCGGCTCCCTGGAGGGTGCAGGCAGCCGGACGCGGCGGGCGGAGGAGCTCCTGGACTCCCCACCCGGACTCTGGCGCCCGGGCCCTGGAGGCCGCCGACTTTTCCAGCGCAACGAAACCCGCGTCGGGCGCCGCGCTCCGGAGGGGCCCCAACCGCCGCCCGCGCCAAGGGGCTCTGGCCCCTAAGGCTGAGCTGGACCTCCGGCCCCTCGTGGCCCCCTGCCCTCAGTTAAACCACCCAAGCGCCTTCTTCCAGCAAGGGAAGCTCTTTTGACAACTAGGAGTGTAGATAGAAACACGTATATTTCATTCTCCGCGCTCACTGTTCGCAAAAACGCGGACCCGCAAGCCGGCAGGGTCCCGGCCAGGCTGCAGAGGGTGGCATTCGGGGCGCCAGGCGTCTCCAGGCGCCGCCAAGCCCCGGGGACCCGGGCGCTGGCTGTGTGGAGCCTGAGCCCACCGGTTTCGACAACGAAGCTTCCAGACACTGAACCCCAGAGCTCAGGAGCGGACGGCGAGGTCAGGGCAGGCCTGGAGAGCGCCCATTTCTCGGACGCGAAGAGCGAGGCCCCAGCGCGAGTGAGGCCCCAGCCTCCTCCCGCCAGGAAAGGGTCAGAGGAGCGCCCGCCCCAGGTGGCTTCTCCCGGGGGTGCATCCGGCCGGGAAGCCTCGCCCGGGCACGGAGCTTTCGGGGCGGGGCTGGCGCCCCATTAACACGCCATTTATCTAAACACAACCGCGCCCTTTCCGCTTGGCCTGGACGCGGGGAGGCGAGCCCAGGTGGCTTCGCCCCACCCCCTCCCCACCCCACTGCCGCCCTCTGGGCTGTTTCCCCGCCGGTACCTCTGGTTGAGGTGGGGGTCCAAGCGAATTCTCCGAGGGTGTTGACTAGCGGGTGGGGTGTACGCCTCTCCCGGCAGAATCTGTGGCCGCATATGTGGGGGGCTGGGCTATTCGCCTGATTTAACAAATCTCTCCCCCAGTGCTGGAGTCTCAGCCCCCCTCTTCCCCCTGGAGCTCCCAACTTTGGGGGAGGGGGAGATAAAGACCACACAGTTACCCCCATTCCTCTGAGGTCAGGACTGACCTGGGCAGACTTCCTGGAGGAGCAGACTTTAAGCTTGGGTTTTGTAGAATGTGTAGGAGTTCGGGTCAGCTAGCTATGAAAAGAGCCCTTGTAATCTGGGGAAGAAGGGAGTGGGGCAGGAGCTGGAGGCTGCTGTTAGCCCAGCGCCCAGACCTCGCAGGCCTTCATTAAGGAAATATTTGTTGAATGATTCAATGAGATAAAGCTGGGGGCAGACTGGGGCGAGGGGGCAAGGTCAGGCCTTGAATGCCAGGCTAAGAGGGGGGTTGGACTTTCTCTCCTTGGCTGGGAGGGTCCCAGGTGGCCGCCACAATGGCTACCCTCAGCCTCAGGCTGCACATATGGGGGTCGCTGGAGATCTGACCCTTCCCCCCCTTGTGGGGCCAGGTGTGGGGGAGGGGCTGTTTGTTCTGCGCCGGCAGGTGAGTCATTGAGTTCAGGAAGGAAACTTATTTTCTCCCTTTGTTCAATGCCAGCCTCCTTCTGCACTCCCAGGGGCCAGGGGTGGGAGTCCCTGATTCCCAGGGGGAAAGACACCTCAGCAGAACCCCAGGCCCCCCCTTACTGAGCACCTACTATGCCTTCAACCGGGAGGTGCTTTGATTTGCCCAGGGCTGGAGCGAGTGGAGCCCGGGTCTGAGGGACTGGATGGCCCCCTGCTGAGTCCCAACGTGTGTGCAAATTGTGGACACAACATGTGTGCTGAGTTTGTTCCAGGCTGCAGACAGATGACAACAGGGACGTCCTTGGCTCTGTTCGTGGGCGGACGACCAGATTCCCATTACACAGAGTGTCCCCACCTCAGGGTCCCTCCCTCCGACCTGGCCTGCATACAATCCCAGGGAACACAGGACCCCAGAAGACCCCAGAAACTCCTGGAGACCGGCCAGTGTGTGCAGGGGTGACTGGAGACACAGCTTCTGGGTCCTTCTCCTGTGCCCTGGGCTGCTCAGCCATCAAACGGACTGCGGTGGGGGGGTCACCCAGGCTCCTGAAAGTGGTTGTGGCCTTCCCCACCCTAAACTCTGGAGTCTGACCCTAGAGGAGCCCCCTCACCCAGAGTAGGGGTGGAGCCTGGCACAGACACCCCAGCACTGTGGGGCCAGGGGGGCTGAGGGCGACCTGGGTGTGGGCCAGCTGTCCGAAGGCCAGATGGCGGAGCTGTGAGGTCTCTATGGCCTTGGTTTCGCCCACTGGAAGGAGAAAGGAGACCTGGCGCTTCTTAAGGGTGAGGGTAGGTTGGGGGGGGATCCAGTAATATTCTTCCCCTTGTTCCTCCCTCCCCCTCCTCTTCATCTGCCACTCCTCCCTCCCCATCTCCCCCTCCTCCCTTCCCATCTACTCCTCCTTCCACCCCATCTCCCCATCCTCCCTCCCACCTTCCCTTCTTCCCTCCCCATCTCCCCCTCCTCTCCATCTCCCCCCTCTCTCCCCATCTACTCTTTCTCCCTCCCCATGTCCCCTCCTCCCTCCCCATCTCTCCCTCCTGGTTCCGACCTCCTCTTCCTCCTCCTTCCTCTCTCTCCTCTTCCTTTCTCCCTCCTCGACCTCCCCTTCCC